CCATCAGTTCCTCTCTCTATTACGGCTGTACATGAGGTTTGCACTCCTCACCAGAATAGAAAAGCACGGACAGACCCCCTGCCCCCCCCCATGCCACCCATGTGAACAAGGTCTTATAAGCTTTTCTCAGGTTTTGTTTTCTGTCACCTCTGGGCACATTCCCCATCAGTTCCTCTCTCTATTACGGCTGTACATGAGGTTTGCGCTCCTCACCAGAATAGAAAAGCACAGACATCAATAAAAACATTGTCATAAGTTCTAAAACATGTAAAATATGTTATGGCTTTTTTGTCTGTGTCCTTGTTAGAGAGATTTCCCATCACTTCCTGTCATGAGTCCCAAATGAGACGCTTAAGGCCGTGACACACTGCAGGCGAAGCAGCGCGGAGCGGTGGCGCGCTGCCTTTGCGAGCAGTGTGTCATGTCATTTTCTCCTGGGCACCTCAGCTGGCGAGAGCTCGCGGAGCTGAGCGTGACGAGATGAAACAATTTCAACTTCAGCCAATCGGCTCACGCGTATAAACCGGCGCGACGGGATGCGACGCCTGGCCGGTTGTTAAGCACGAGCCGATTGGCTGAAGGTGCAGTCAATCATCTGACTGCACTCAGCTCACACACTGCACGCAAAGCTCCGTGCCGGATAGCTTTGCTTCGCTCTGCACGGCTTTGCGTGCAGTGTGTCACGGCCTTTAGGCAGGGGTGGGGAACCTCTGGCCCTCCGGCTGTGGTGAAACCACAAATCCCATGATGCATCTGTCTCTGGGAGTCATGCCTGTGGCTGTGAGAATCTTGCAATGCCTCATGGGATTTGTAGTTTCACCACAGCTGGAGGGCCTCATTCACACATACTTTTGTGTCCACATGCTTCAGGAATCTGCGTATAAATGCAGCTGGGATCACAGCTGGTTGAAGCCCGTATGTTGAGAAACAAATGACCAGCCCCAGACACAGATTCCATGCAGGGTGGGTCATCTGTCCCTAGCCGCAGATAAAAGCTGCATGTGCAGGTATTTGCGAACAGTGGGGGACAGCTACGGCTTCTGTCAGCCTGTTATTGCTTTGTACAGGCTTCCTGGCTGCAGCTGTCCACATCCGCCTGTGATTCCAGCCACAAGAATTCACTTGCTCTTGTCGCAGGTATCCACTGATCGGCCCTTATCACCCTGTGCATGAAGCCTAACCTTTTTTTCTCTATAAAAAGCTAAATAAAGTGTTTTTTTTTGCATGAGCTAGGCACTACTGCTTAAAGTGATCCAGTCATGGGGTCAAAAAAGTTACAAAGGCACCAACCTGAGAAGAAAGTAGCGTCATACGTACTGTCCATCTGCCTGTTTGCTAAAACTTCACTCTGTAGTAGAGTTCCCGGCGCTGATCTAATTCTACTCCTTATACCGGTAGCTGATGGATCCTCCTGCTGACACCTAGTCACAGTAGGACACAATTGTGCTGCTGGGATCATAGGGAGGAATCACAGCAGCTGGTGGGGGCATGCTGTACCTCACATCCAGAAGTCTGAAACTGGATCAGTGCCAAGAACTCTGTAACAGAGCAAAGTTCCAGCAAACACACAGATGGACAGCTATGTATAAAGCCCGTGACACACTGCACGCAAATCCGTGCAGAGCGCAGCAAAGCTGTCCGGCACGGAGCTTTGCGTGCAGTGTGTTAGCTGAGTGCAGGGAGATGATTGACTGCACCTTCAGCCAATCGGCTCGTGCGTAACAACCAGCCAGACGTCGCATGCTGACCCACAGGTATATACGCGTGAGCCAATTGGCTGAAGATTACATTTTTCCTCTCGGCAGGCTCAGCTACGCGAACTCTCACAAGCTGATGTGCCGAGGTGAAAATTACATGACACACTGCTCGCGAAGGCAGCGCGCCACTGCTTCGCTCTGCTTCGCGTGCAGTGTGTCACAGCCTTAACACTCCTTTCTGCTCAGATTAGTGCCTTTGTAGCTGTTTTGACCCCCTGACAGGGTCACTCTTATATAAAAGATGAGATTTGGCACTTATCAACACAGTCAGCGGTGGCATTATATTGTACTAGAAGCTCTCCTAGACCCTGGTGGAGTGGAGGACCTTGTGACAGGAACTAATAGGCATAAGGAATTCGTACCGGGGCCCCATACTGCCCACTTAGTCCACCATTGTTCCTTTTACCATTTTTCTCTAAGGGTTACAAAATAGAATTAGCGGTAGCTGCCAGGCTATCGAATCAAAAGATGGCGCTCAAAGCCTCCTGCTGTCAGAGTAAAAAAACTAAAAACTAACAGATAATAAAAAAAGAAAAAGACAGCAGGGAAAGGTTTACTCTGCTTGATAGAACAGACTAAACCTTTCCGGGATAAAATGTTTCTCTCCCGGGGTCCGGGAGCCGCTATCTAATAGTGGGAGACTCCCATGACATCCGGGAGAGTTGAGATGTCTGTGTAGATGATGCCAGGCTTTGGTGTTAAATATATATTGTCAGACTCTGATTTTTGGACATATATAATTGTATTTTTTAATGTTTTCTGTAATATCTCTTCTATAACAAAGTACAAATCATATCTTTTACTGGGGCCCACAAAGAACTTCACCCGTATCTTAAAAATGACAACAAACACACCTTTAGAAACGTTTAGTAATGGCAATCTATAAACAGATACCTATAGACAATTGCCGGCTTTTTATTCTTTGTATACCTTATTTTTCTTTTCTTCCTCATTCTTCTCACTGAGGCCATTTTCACTAAGGGCAGATTAATCCATCTCCCTCTACTTCCTGGAAGTCTGGGTCTGCCTCCTGGAACATGTGACAGTGCACATCATCTGAGGGGGGAAAATGTCTTCCCCGAGATCTCACTAGTCTTTGCAGGTTACAGATGAGATTTCCAAGGAAGGCACTGGTGATGTAATCTTCCCAGGATGCATCTGTGTGTGCCTCACTCAACCAGGAAGTGATAAGTAAAAGCAAAAAAAATAAAAATATATATATGTATGTATGTATGTACTGGTGGTGCATGCTACCGGGAGCAGGGGGGGGATGGTAGGGCCTCTTCATCATCGGGTGAAGACCAGCTCCGACTCCCGCCCAGTGACATCACTGGTTCCAAAGAGTTCGGCGGAACGGCGGCCTAAGTGTACCAGGTTGCTAAGAGTGAAGTGAAGAGATGTGTATGTGTTATGCATCTCCTCGCCCGGCTCTTAGCAACCTAGGGTGCTCTGGCCGGAAAGGGGGCTGCAGGCACACTGCAAACATTGTGCAGCAGAGTGGGCATGCCGTTCTGCCTGCCGCCCGACCATGTGACCCAAAGAGATGCCACCTGGGGCAACAGCCTCAGGTTGCCTCATTATAGGGACAGCCCTGTATCAGGGGCATCCCGAGGCTGGGTGACACCCGGAGCGGTTACCGGGTGTCACCCCCGCCGACTCTTCTGGTACCTGCGGGCGGCCATCTTGGTGATGGACGCCGGTAGAGAGAGGAGGGGACAGTCACACGGAGGGATAAGGTATGCCACCGGGTCCCCTCCTCTCTCTCCTGATACTGTTGGGCGTTCGGTCCATGACCGAGCGCCGGACTTTTCAGAGGGGGGTGACACGGTTGCTTTCTAATTCCCCTTGCCCTTCAGTTTGCCCTGAATAGCAGGGAAGGAATGCTGCGCATGTAGACCATCTCTTGGCACTGCAGATGGGCAAGGTAATAAATGGGTACTGTCATGGTTCTGCTCAGGAGTGATGCAACCAATGTAGACGGCCTTCTTTTCTCATATGTGGTTCTATGTTGCTCGGAAACCAGGCAGAAGAGAGAATTTCAACAGACCCCCACACATAAAAGAATGTAGTGTGAAGGGGATTTAAACCATAAGGAAGATTGATAATAATTCACCAGCCATGGCCAGAAAGAATCTCAGCAAAGTGCAACGCCTGTCCCTGGAGAGCATCACACGCAGAAAGCCTCTGCTGACTAGTTCCTTCTAATGTTACTTTTTTTAAGTTTACAGGGATCCCAACCTGAAAAAAAGCAATTTCAGGGAGGTGCCCTTCTCATTTCAGTTTAGAGCACCCCCCTGAAATGATGGCAGATAGCACAGTAAGCAATAGCTTCTTTGCTATCTGCAGGTTTTTTTTTTTTATATATTCTGACA